TAGTGAAAATATGGATTTAGGGGTGAAAAATGGCAAAAATCCAAAATTAGCCGGAAAATCTCGCATGCCTTCTATTTAAAGGGGAAAAGATGCGAGGGTCACTCAGCAAGACAGATGGCAGTGAGGGAGAGAGACACGCGAGGGGGAAAGGGCAAGTCAACAGGGAAGGGCTCGGTGGCAGCAGCAGCGAAGGGCACGCGGCAGGAGCGGAGCAAAGCAGGTGGCGCGCATGCAGGGGACCGGGTGCGAGGCTCCGAAGTATGACACGGGGCGAGGCGCGTCGGATGCGCATTGGGCCGAAGATCTGAGCAAACCGGACTGCGATGCGTGTCGGACACGAGGCACGATCTTGCGAGGGTGACGAAGCTGCTTCGTGCGAGTGACGTGTCCGAACACTGTTTATGCGAAAATTCTCGGTTTTCGGGCCCCGAACTTCTAAAATCCATAACTTTCGCATATGAGCTCCGATTTTGACGTTCTTTATATTCACGCGTAGCTAAAATTACGCTCTACAACTTTCGTTTAGACTTCGTCGGCTAATTTTGACTTTATTTTTAATATTATTATTTTTAACAGATCGGGACAGGAAAATCCGTTAAAAATTCATAACTTCTTCATCCGACATCCGTTTTCGTCAGACTTTTTACCGTTGTACTACAAATGACGAGACCTTTGATTCTAGTTTAGGATGTATTGGTAAAATATCGGTCGATCTAAAATTTGAGTTTTCAGCTGTCTACTGCTAAGTTGAAACTTCGAAAAATCATAACTTCCTCATACGAAGTCAGATTTTGGCGTTCTTTTTATCAAATTTCCCGGTTTAACGAATACTACAACTTTCATTTAGATTACTAAGTCTAAAAAGTAGTTTATCAAAAACTCACTTTTTACGTCATTCGGTGCCGTGTCGGTTTTGTTGCGGATCTTCGGTTGGTTATAACTTCTTCGTTTGAACTCGGATTTTGACGAGGTTTTCGCCTACAAGTTTCTAACAAGATTCTCTACAACATAAAATAATAAAATTTTACCTATTTAAAATTTTATATTTTCGCTAAATTTCACTATTTGGCTTTTAATTGGAATCTTATAAGACTTCCAATAATTTCTGAGTGATTCTAAGCATATTTTTACTTCATTTCTAGTAAAAACCATCTGTTATGACTCAACACTCAATTTTACATAATATTTCACAATTTTATTCATTACAAAACACGATTTTCAAAACGTGTATGTTACAATAATTACAAAAAATGGCATTCAATTTATAATAAAATATATAAAATTTCTATAGCAATATGATATCTCCTTTAGCAATCGATTTAACTGGAGAACATGGGAATCCTTTAGCTCTACCCGAACCCCTTACACCCACATCTTGATAGGTCATGTTATAGAAGAAAAAATAGAAATGGAGAATAAGGCAATTGTGGGTTTGCGTGGCTACCTGATGAACAGATGTGAAGTGGATCCCACCAACTTCAAAAAAAAAAAAAAAATCCTCTAGCAATTTATTTACAAGATGAGTGAAATATAATACAAAGTAAAGTAGTGTCATTGGTTAGAAGAGGCGCATGCGCAGACAATTCAAGTTCAAGTGGGGGAGAATTGTAACTCCAAGATCCAGGTATATACTTCTTTTATTATAACGACATTCAAGTTAAAAAAATGGATTTTTGAGGTCCACGACATGGTGATGTAGCTCCCAGGACGTGGCATTAGTCGATGAAAGTGTGCAGATGAGTTTGCGTTATGACGTGGCAACTTATTGTCCATGATGTGGCGAAAAATTTATGATAAACCCTAATTTCCATGGTTTGTGCTTATATTTAAGGAAAGTGACGGCTAGGGTTTATACACCTTGCATCCATCATTTTCCTTTCACTATTAAGAAAACCATAGCCTCTTCTTGACATTTGTGAAATTTTAGAGTGTTTTTGGTGTCTTAAAGAAAAAGGAATGTCTTTTGGTGTATAGGTCCAACTTGCAAGCCTCATCATCATATTCTACCACATACTCTAGACCTTTGTGAGTATTCGAGCCCCAAGCTTTATTATTCTATGTGCTTAGATCTAGAATTTCATGTACTTTTCTCCATGTTTAGGCTGGTTAAAGTGTTGGGATTCCATAAAGTTGACAACTTTATAAATCCCTAGAGTCCCTTTGTAGCTAGAAATGTTAGATTTAAAGTTTGGTAGCGTTTTAAACCCATACACACACGTATATATATATATATATATATATATATATATATATATATGAGGTTTTGACATTTTTTTCACCATTTATGTCCTAGTTTGAGCTCAAGACTTGCATAGGACATGCATGTCTATAAAGCATCTATTTTATGATCCTTTAGGAGTAAGAAAACCTTATGGAAAGTATGAATGGGTGGGGTAAGGGATTAAGAGCTTAATGAATTAAGCTGGCCGGATCAACTCCCACAACATGGGGGATTGACCTCCATTACGTGGCGGGAGTTGGCCTCACGACTGTTTTGTCCTGTAGTCCCCACGACTTGGCAAAAGCTTGGCCACGTCATGACGCCCGATTATGAACCTTTGACTGTTGACCGTAGACTTTTAACCATGTCGTGGTGCCTATCAGAAACACGCTTTCTTCATTTGGTATGTTTCCTCGTGGAACTCCCTGGATCACGTTGTGATATATGGTTTTCCTTAAAAACCATGCCTTTGTATCCTTTATATCATCACTTGATCCATTATGGGAACTGGGTGTTACATATTGATTTAGTGACACTTTAACATTTGGCTATTGTTGTTGGGTTTCTGGTCATCAAGAGCTTGAAGAGTTTGTGTTGGGATGCACTTATTTGGTTGGAGGTCCATCCAGGAACTGCCTCAACATATAAAGAAGATGGTTGTTGCAAGTTCTGAGTTTTTTTTGTTTATGTGTGTGCGTTTTGATTTACGGTGGAGAGGGTGGGTGAGATTCTATTTGTTATTTTTTACAAGGGCAAATGTCATATTAGCCCTTTGAACCTTTCGTGTTTATTTTAAAAGGTTACCAAACTTTTTTTTTTGTACATTAAGGGCATACAATATCGTTTGACCTGTTAAAAACGTCACTTGACCCATTATAACAGGTTTTTATTTTAATTGTAATGTTATCACCTCCAACCTCCTCCCACTGTAACAGGTTTCCCCTCTCCAAAAGAGCTAGTTTTTTAGAAGACTAAAAGAAATAGTCCATCCCAAATATAATATTGCAAACCATTTGATGAAATGGGTCCGATTTCTCTTTTTGTTTTTGTTTGGAATTGAATGTATCGGAGAGCGAACACAAAAAATAGATCAACAACTGTAGGTCAATGCTCCTAGAGATGACTTGTTTTTTTGTTTGGTTCTTTGCTGGAGCTCACCACCTGTAGCAGGATATCGGAGCGAAAGTGAATATCGAAGGCATTGATCTGGTGGGTTGTTGCTTGAAGGAAGATGATGGGTGTCGATGTTGATAAGTGATCTGATTCTAACGATGGTGGTTGGATGGCAATGAAGATCAGAGCAGTGAGAGAGACCGATATTAAAACATGGTCAAGTTGCAGGTGGTTCCGATGGAAGAGAAAACAAAGATCGAGAATGGAATTGATGAAAACCCGATTTTGTGAGATTCTGTACAAATTTCTATCCCCGAGGGCTTGAAATCGAATGAAAACAAAGATCGAGAATGAATTTGATGAAAACTGAACTGATATCATGTATTTAGTTGAATAGGTTGTCAAGAACATAATTAGTTTCCCCTTTAATCATTCTTCTTTTCTCCTCTTGTTCATATATAATTACTGCTAAAATTAAGTTGTTCTTGTTAATGGGTTTGCCGTAAAGGTTTAACCGTCAATGGGGGAAGTAAGAAATGCATAAAGGTGTTAGAAAAAAAGAGATATAAGAATTGCATAGAAGGTGTTCGACAAAATGCTTGAAAGAATAATTTGGCCTGTATCAAACCTTTTAAGTGTTAAGCCTATTTATCAAGCATACATCACCACATTTTACCTGAATACCCGGTATCAAGTAAAATAAGGACCTTTTAAAATGGTAAATTAGGACTTCATTCCCTTAATGTATAAAAAAATAATTGAATGACATTTTAAAACCAAATGGCTTGTAACCCAGCGGTATGAGGTGGTGCCCTCCCTCTTTGAGGTAAAGGGTTCAAGTCTCATCGTGGACATATGTGGAATATGTGTCGTTAGCTTAGGAGTATATTAGATTGTCGATTAAAAAAAAAGACATTTTAAAACAAACACGATAAGTTTGATTAAAAAAAAAGACATTTTAAAACAAACACGATAAGTTTCATCTCCAACCCTACTTCATTTTTTACCCCATTTTTACCCCCAAAAAGTATATTTCATTCTTATAATTTATATAAATTGTCAAACACACCCCTTCTATTATTTTAGTTTTAACAAATATATAATCTATATTTTTTTTCATTACAATAATATTAAGTAAATAAGATTATTTATAATACGTAATTATAAGCTTTTGTAAAATACGTTATTGTGTTTTAAAATTTCAATATGTATTTAAATTTTAATATGAATTTGAAAAAAAACAAACTTTATATTTATAATTAATTAATATAATTTAATATATAACATAATAATATAAGTATTAAATATTTCATTTAAATAATAATTAATAGAGAAAAAAACTAGAAATGTGTAAATATATAAAATTAGGGACTAAAACCAACAACTCAAAGTTTATCCTCATTTTTGGGGAAATAAATAATATAACACTATATTTGGTGTTATACTATTCATTTCCCCCAAAATGAGGGAATAAATGAGGTAGGGTTGGAGAGAAATAGGGGAAGAAATGAAGGAAAAAATGAAGAATAAAAATGAATTGGAAATGCTCTTACATTGGTTACCATAAACTGTATATTTAGAAATAGTAGAGGGACTATTTATGTATTTAACTAACTACAAAACTGCAGATTAAGAAATAGTAGAGGGTCTATTTATGTATTTAACTATTTCTTGATCATAAACCCTCCCTTTTCTTTCTTGAAACACGATTGAAATCGACTTTCTCACCTCATCGCCTCTGCAAATCGGGGAAGACGTAGAGCAGCCGAGAGTACAAGAGGACGAGGGAAACGCCGGTCCCGCCGGAACCTTGCTGAGATAGTTCTCTATTGGTCTCCGGTTAGTTACAATCATCGTCACATTATCTTATTTTCAATGTTCTTTCTTTATGTGCCCTAATATTTCTTTTTTTGGATCATTTTTTTCTTTGTTATCATGTGATTAGGAATGTTAGAGATGATTAAAGTGCTGAAAGTTAGATGATTTACGCGATCTTGATGTTGTAATTCAAATTCTGTAACAATAAAAAATATCGTGAGCATCCGATGATATTCATGAAACCCTATTTGTTGGGCTCTCTAAATCGAGACATAGTTTTGTTTCTCTCGTCTGTAATTATGTAAGTACGTTTTATTTGTAGGGGTTTCTTCCCGCTAACTAGTGGAATTGAGTTTGAACTCTTCTTGTTCCGTGGAAGGATTTCTATTAGCTTCCATGGAATGATTTTAGGTTAGTAGATTAACAATTTACAGTCACTTTCTAAAGGACTTTGCTTTTCCGAACATCAATTTGCATAAGTCACATACCTACCCGGGTTTCAATGTTGTTTTGAGTTTTGTATAAGATGAGTGCAATACCTTTTAACAACTCACCTTATTGAAAAGGGAATGTGAAAGATGAATGTAGGCGAACAACTGAACATTTTTCCTTACTCATGATAATTTGAAACTCATGAACTTATCAATGTATACTATATCGGGATTTGTGTAGCTATAGTAATAATATTCATTATTTTCAAGTTTTCATAGTTCCCTACCTCCAGAATAGTAAAATAATCCAAAACTAAGCCCATTAAAATCTCTTGGATGATGCAAGTGTTACACAAAAGTTATCTTATGCATCTTACAGTGATATACATTGATCATGTTAGTAGATATTTGGTTTTAATGAAATTGATGTTACTGTATTTAGATTATTCTTGTCATATGGTTTTCTTTTTGTTTTGTATTGAAGTTGCTTCCAATACAGGTAGGTGATGGCGATTGCTATGTATCCTGTTAGCTAGAGAAAACTCCAGATTAATTGGAAGATATCACAGGGGACACAAATGGCAACTATGATGTCCAGTGATCTGATGCATTCTAGAATGCATGAAGGTGGACCCCACAAACAGTGTGATAATAAGGTGGAGGAAAATGGTGGTCGCTGGTATTTTTCTAGGAAAGAAATAGAAGAAAACTCACCATCAAGATCAGATGGAATTGATTTGAAGAAGGAGACTTATCTTCGCAAATCTTATTGCACATTTCTGCAGGATTTGGGTATGAGGCTTCAAGTGTAAGTCCTTTTATGTCTCTATGATCATTGTTTCCTTTTCTTTTATGTTTATTTATTCACATGATTTCCAATATCACATAAAAACGCTTCCCTTTTGCATTGTTGCATAATTGCATCATCAATTTTGGTGTTTGATATCCAATAATAGGAGGTGTCATAGAGATTACTCCTGCATAGGTTTCTTTTTTGTGTGTGTATTTTTAGTTTGTTGTATTGAATTTGTTGATGTTCCATTATTCTCTTCGTTTGTCATTGGGTAACATGACATGTTCAAATAAAATATGTTCAAAGAAAAGGTTTAAAAGATGTTGTTGCATGAAAGGTTTGTGTGGTATGATGGAATGGAATCACAAAAGAATGGAATGGATCATTACATTCCATTATCATGTTTGGTTTGGAATGTGTCATTTAAACATGTTGCTTGTTATTTACACTATAAATAAATTGATAAACAACGACAAACTGTTGTTTTATAAAAATGAACTTTAACCAGATAAAGTAATATCGCTAAAAAATGCATATAAGCAATTAAGCATATTTCATGTCGTGTGAAATATCTGTTATATGTGTTTCAAACAGTTAAACAAAAGTTTATTTCACTTAACCTATTGTTTACAAAAGTAAAAGTTTCACAAAAATTAAGCACCACGAAATCATAAAATAATTATAGTTACTTATTATGGAAAATAACTTAAAAAACTATTTAATTTAAGTTTTGGACACTCTTAGAAAGAATAATTATACTTTGTTGTGGAACTTGTCTTTGTCTGTGCAAAAGACGTAAATGCCCTCAATAGTTTTTCTGAAGATAATAAATTGGATGTCATATATATGTCCATGCAGGCCCCAAGTAACTATTGCCACAGCCATTATCTTTTGTCATCGTTTCTTCCTTCACCAGTCTCATGCGAAGAATGACAGGAGGGTTAGTTATGTCATTTTACACTATTTTGGGGAATCCATTTTTTAATTTTGTAATAAAATAAGGACATATAAACTAATATATCTAGAATGCAGACAATTGCAACAGTCTGCATGTTTCTTGCAGGAAAAGTTGAAGAAACTCCTCATCCTCTAAGAGATGTTATCCTTGTCTCCTATGAAATCAATCACAAAAAAGACCCTGAAGCACTTCAAAGAATCAAACAAAAGGTAAATACATTGATTGGTATTTCTGTTCTGGCATAAGTAGGGCTGGAAAAAGACGTAAATGCCCTTGTTGTTGTTGATGCAGGAGGTGTATGAAGAAGAAAAGGAAATAATATTAATAGGAGAACGTGTAGTTCTTGCAACACTTGCTTTTGACTTCAATGTGCATCATCCATATAAGCCACTTGTGGAGGCAATAAAGAAGTTTAAAGTTTCCCAACAGGCCCTTGCACAGGTGGCATGGAATTTTGTCAATGATGGGTAATGCTGTTGTATTCCTTTATATGTTATATATAGAAAATAAAGTGAGTTGAGGGTGTGGTGGAGGGACTTTTTTGTCTTTTTGACATTAAAAAAAAAGGGGGTGCAATGCAACTGCAGGCTTAGGACATCCCTGTGCTTGCAATTTAAGCCCCACCACATTGCAGCAGGGGCTATTTTTCTTGCTGCTAAGTTTCTTAAAGTCAAATTGCCTTCAGATGGTGATAAGGTTTGGTGGCAGGAGTTCAATGTTACTCCACGTCAGCTTGAAGGTTAGTTTTTTTTTTTTCTAAAATTATTTTTTACTGTATAAAAAATTTCCATTTTTTCATTGTTAGTTGGTTTTAGTGTGACTACAGAAAACCACAATGTGCTTTCATTATTATCCAGTTAACTGTTTTCTGCAGTGATTAAATCGTGGTACTTTTGGACCCTTAACTTGTTATTGTTATTATTATTATTTTGTAGTTTTGTAATTTGATTATATTATTTACAGTTTAAGTGAATTATTTTTCAAAATTGACCCAAAACTACAGCTTATCTGTACTGAAATGGTCTAGAACATATTTTCTTGAATCTATTATTTTTCAATATTCGAAATATCATCTTCTGTGCTTAAATTTTTGGGTTAATATCATAAGAGACTTAATATGTTGTGTTTTTCTGGATTAAACCTCAATTTTATTTTTTTCCTGAAAAAAACCTTGTATTTTTCCATTTTTTTTTTTGATTTGGCCCTTTTTTTTTAAACGAAAAAACTTGTCAAATGTGATGGTTTTTTTGAAAAAAGTTAAAAGGTTGAGGGTCTTTCAGAAAAAAGATAAAAAGTGGAGGGTTATTTCAGGAAAAATGAAAAGAATGCAAGGTCTTTTTCAGGAAAAAAATAAAGTTGAGGTTTAATTTTGAAAAAAACCCAATAGATAACTTTTTTTTAAAATGATATTAACCCTAAATTTCAACACTAAAAGTAGCTTATTGAACTGTAAAGTTAAATGTGGAATTTTTTTTGCATTGTAATATTCGTAAATGAGGACAAATTTGAAAATTTTATAACTTAAATTGAACAAACAGGATTTAATGTTGGCAAAAAATCTCATTTTCCAACTTTCAATTTTTTAATGAGGACAAATGTGTAAAAGTTAGAACTTAATGAAAAGTCTTGTTTTTATGACTTTATCTATCAAGTCGTTTTTTAGTCTTTTAAATGAGCACAAATTGCAAAAAGTTAGGCCTTAAGACGATAAGCCTCATTTTTCTGTATTTTCTATTAAGCCTTTCTTTGATTACATAAACTGTTAGTTTCTCATTTATAAAATATTAACTAGTTTTATTTAATCATTGCAGAAGTAAGTAACCAAATGCTAGAACTATACGAACAAAATCGGGTCCCACCTTCCCAAACTAGTGAAGTCCTTGACGGAAGTACAGGTGGCGGTGGTGGTGGTGGAGTTACTCCAAATGCACATGAAGAACACAACACAAATGACAGCAACTCTCATGTGGGCCCCACCACCACTTCCAAAACCGATCATCCAAGAACATCCTTGAATCAAAGCAATGACGATGGAAGTACCGATCATAATAAAGACATCGATTCCGATGTCGAAAACGACGATCGGAATCACGAATCCGATCAAAACCCGGAATGTAGATTCCGGTCGCCTAAGGAAGCGGGGAAAAAGATCGATAAAGATAAAGTCAGGGCGGCTTTTGAGAAACGAAGGAAAGAACGCGGCGGTGATGTGAATCGGAGGGCGGAATCCATGGATGATGATGATTTGATCGAGAGGGAATTGGAAGATGGAATAGAATTGGATGGGGAATCTAAGACAAAGAAACGGAATCGGAATTGGTGTGATGAGGTTGAGGATTTTGAGGCGGTGGAGGAAGGGGAGGTGGGGGTGTTGGATGATGATGATGGTGGTGATAGGCGGCATAGGGTGCCGGAGAGTGGCCGGAAAAGAAAGGGCGGTGGGAGTGGGACCCCACCACCGGACAAACGGAGAAGAAACTAGAAGGGTGTTTAGGTAAAGGTAATTATGTTTATGTTTATTTGGTTTTTTTGTTTGTTTGTATTTAAATTAGAATGTGGTATTTATAAGTTTTGGTTTTGTGTATGGTTTTTTTGGTAATGGGGAATGGTATCTTTTAATTATGAAATATAATTTATATCTTCCCGTTTCATCATCTCATAGTCATAATAGTAAAGGTTGTTCATATTGGTACCTTATGGTGATGTATGCATTTGTATCATTGTTTGCATTTATCTGAAAGATTCAAAGATTTGAGGTCTTTTCCATTGAATCTTCGTGGAAATCTGTTTGTGTATACGACAAATGAAATGTCAACTTCCAGCTATGATGAGAAATCACATGTGAAAGTAACTGAATTCAAGGATCAAACGATTTTGACTCTAAAACTGGGAATTAATAAAAGACAACTTTCCTAAAAAAAACCCCTAGATTTGAATCCGATTAACCCAACAAGTTTGGCAAACTAAATTCAGAAAAGGAGAATATTAAATGGTTCATACACTAATATTTAATAGCGTCAATTCCAAACCAATATCAACTGAACAACTAAGTTGAGATATCAGCTTCCAGTATGCGTCACTTAATGAAAGGTCCCTGAAACAAAACCAAAAGGATCCAATTTTTTTAAAAGAAGGAATAAAGGCATATACTATCCCAAACCAAAGGGACCATTAGTGTAATTTACTATGAATAGTTAGAATCTAGTTGAGCTAATGTCTAAAAGAGAGCTCGGGTTGACTTGGACTGCGAAAACAGTGAACCAAAAGTCTACCCGTTCGTAGTTCAAGACTCGCCCCAATTCATCAGATTCAAATACACATTTATCAGATTCAGACATAATTCCCGAGGTGGGTACGTTTATCTTTCCATGGTGTATCACTTTGATGATTAATCAACTTGACCTTTCCATGAATTCTCCATAATCACTTAAACGTTCATCAATTATGCCTCCCCTTCATTTCACTAAGATGATTAATTCTTTTCAATTGTTTCTGTTACTTTTTCTATTTTATGTCTATTTTCACACTTGAATTGAATTCAATTGTTCGTTAGTGTGATATATGATTGAGTGTGCTAGGGTAGTTCGCCTCATGATATCCATATACACAATGTTATCATGAGTGTTTACTCTCTTTCCGAATTTATGAATCAAGCTTTGTATTGGTTGCATTTATTCATATATGATATACGGCATTTAAAAAGCTTCATCAATAATGCTGTTTATTGTACGTTTATTACTATTATGCTGTTGTATGCAGTTCCATTATTGTTTGAGGTTTTAATTCATTTAACGTCTCATTGGAGTTTCTTTTTTCTTAAATTTGGTTGCAGAGCTTATTTTGTTTCCATTTATTTCCAAGATTCAAAGTTTTGTGTATTTGACAAATGGATTCACGAGAACAACAACCATTATTTGATCTTAATGAACCTGCTATGGAGGATGATGAGAGTGACTTCCTCTTGTGCTTCAAGCCCAAAACGATTGTCCTAAATACTGTTGACAATTTAGTTACATTCAAGACAACCATTATATCTTCTTCTAGATCAGTAAATAATCATCAGTTTTCTCATACCTCTTCTGGTTCAGCCTTTCAGCCTTTCATTAAGTCAAAAGGAGATTGGGAGAAAGTTACTAAACTCATGGATCCAAGTGATTGTAATGTGAATGTAGCAATGAATCCTTCTAGAATAATTGGTAGGTTAATGTTGATCATCAAAAATATGTCTGTCAAATAAAAGATTCTCTTTTGAGCATTATTACCCTGTAATCTATTCGTATATATCCTCTTAACCCTCAACTCATTATATTTTAAACAGATTCTATCTGATAATAATGAACTTGTTATAGCCAGGTTTCCCCTCTTATCGGCTTGAGAAATGGAGGGTTTGTTGCGGGACTAAACTGATTTAAAAGTTGTCTCATGCAAAATGACAAAACACGAAAAAACTTGCATAGCTAAACAACAGGGGCGAAGCTTTAACATTTGATTCGGGCGGGGGGAGGGGGGGGGGGGCAATGACAAAACTTTATATGTTTGGGTATAAAATATATAAAATGAAACTATAAGGGTTATTTAGAACCAAAAAATGGAAATTTTTGCTAGAGAAACAAATAAAGTTGGTTGTTTAATTAACCAGGTTTTGTTAAAAGTACGTTTTCCAAATAAAGAGACTGATTATTAGTTACGACTTTGGTTATATGACCTTTAAAACATGAGCTCCATCAAAATGAATCCAAATTATTTTAAACAGGGTTATATGTTGGGTGTTCGATCTATTAGTTTTTTTTGTAGGAATTTATAATACTTTAATGAATAGATAACAAAAGTTTCAACCAATTATTTTCTGAATATAGGAACACATCACAAGGTGACGCCTTATGAATTAAGTTATGAATAAAAACTATTTGTCAACTCTATGTCGATAATTAATAATAGAAATTAAATCTTTTAATAATGTCAATTTGATGCTATAAAAGTCAACTTATGTTGGTACAAATTGATGAAAGCATCAGACACATTTTTATAGTTCTATCGAGGGTTGATTTCCATGGATGCGCCCAAGAGGTTGGGTCCTAATTCCTATTTCACATCCTTCTTCTTATTTTGTGTTTTGTTTAATGTACGATTGTTTATGTGTTTATGGTTTATCAGTGTTGAAGATGTGGTTACAGTGGATGTACATGTAGCTAGAAAACTCCTCATCGATTCTGGTCATCGTTATCTTGATGTCAGGTAAGTGGAAAAACACCTAAAACCTTTTGGTTCATTATTATATAAGTTATGATATTTAATTACCTCAAAACTATTATGTTATGTTAATAAGTTCTGTGATCTTCAAAGATCGTTAAACAAATTGTTTAGCATATATGACAAAGTGAACTTACCTCCTTTTGTAAAAAACAATTACAACATAAGATGAAGATATATTTTTGGGTAAAGAAAACATAAGGTACAAATTAACCGTTGAGATGAAAATATTTTATCATAATTAGAAATTACAATTTTGAAATACATTTTTGTGACACACAATATTATTAAGAATACGTTAACATATAATAACAAAAGTTTCATGAACATCTTCTTGAATATGATTTTCAAGCTTATTAAATTAACATACAAATTGTTTCATTATCATGTTTAACTTTTAATTGTACTAAAACTTTAAAACTAACAGGACCAATGAAGAATTCAACAAGAGTCACGTGGACAGTGCAATAAATATCCCTTACATGTTCATCACACAAGAAGGTACGTATTAATTACACCACATCATGTACATGCTTCATTAATCTATATTTAGTTATGTGACACTTATTTTTATACTAAATCAGCCCTTAAAGTTCTTTTTTACAGGAACAAACGATTTTGACGAACTTTTTCTATGTTATTGCTTTTTATATATATGTTCATTTATGTAATTCATTAAAGCATTCTTGCAATATACAGGAAGGGTTAAAAATCCTGAATTCGTAGCTCAGGTCTCAGCTCTTTGTGACAAGGAAGATTCACTCGTTGTGGTATTTTTCTCAGAATAATAAGTAGTACATTTTTCGTTTGAAAATGAATACATAAATTTTTTCAATTTTATAAAACAAACACAACATTTTCTTTTTATCTTGTATATGTTAAAGGCTTGCAACAGTGGAGGGAGATCTCTTAAAGCTTCTGTGGACCTTCTTATTGCAGTATGTTATTAAACCTTTCTTTCCATTTACCATTTTCAATTGATTGGCTCCTCAAGCATTATGATTATATATTTTATATATGCTGATTGTATATATATGTTATATGTATTATCTTTCTTCTCTAATGATATTTGTATATATGACATATTTATATGCGTGTAGGGCTACAAGAATGTGAAGAATATGGCTGGTGGATACTCAGCATGGGTCGACAACGGGTTTGTTCAGGACTCAGCACAACCAGAGGAGTTAAAAACTGCTTGCAAGTTTAGGCGTTGAGATAGTCTATAAACCTAAATTTGGTTTAGGGTATTATTGTATGCATCAATGCATGTTTTTACTAATATTTTTCTAAAAAGAGTACTTGAAAAATAATGTCATGTGTGTATGTCTATTTTTTTCTTTTCTTTTTTTAATGAATAAAATATGAGACATGTGTATGTAAAGTAAGGTCTCAAAATGTTATAAAAAATTAGGAGTTTATTTTTTTCTTAAGAAATTTACAAAATATATGTTTCATAAGCTTGTACTATGTAAAAGTATTATATCTTGTGTGGATGAACAAAAATTATTAAAGTGGCAACACTTAGATGCTTATGGTCTAAAAAGGGACCCATTTTTTGTTATAACATTATATAGTGGAATTTCTTATTTTTTGCATCTTCTGAAAGTTAACATTAGAACATTAATGAGAAGCAATAAAATAAACTTTTTTGTTTTGTTTCTTTTTTACTTAATGGAGTTAACAAGAACAACACTTCATGTACATAGTATTGGTTCTCATTGAACCTCTTTCGTTCACAAATTTTGTGTTTTGTTGCTTAAACTCTTAGGATCTAAGATAGTTTGGTTTTAATTGCATGTTTCAATTTAGGTTATGGGTAGGTAGGGGTGCAAACGAGCCGAGCCGAGCCCGAGCCTGGTCAAGCTCGGCTCGGGCTCGTTTAAGTTATATAAGGCTCGAGCTCGAGCTCGGCTCGATTCGAGCTTTCTTATACTGAGCTCGGCTCGAGCTCGTAAAGAGTTATACAAGCTCGGCTCGGGCTCAGGCTCGACTCGTTTTTATCGGGCGTGCCTAAATAAGCTTAAGCTCGGCTCGAGCTCGTTTACTACTTACCGAAATTCATAATTCCCCTAATATGTTTTTATTTTAATATATATAAATAATAATAAATAATATGATATAAAGGCTTGTTTAGGCTCGCGAGCCTAATCGAGCTTTGTGACATAGGCTTGAGCTCGAGCTCGTTTAATAAACAAGCTTAATATTAAGCTCGAGCTCGGCTCGAGCTCGTTTAAAATTGGTTTCGAGTCGAGCTTTTAACGATCCGATCTCGAGTAGCTCGCGAGTAACTTGACTCATTTGCACCCCTATGGGTAGGTTGCTCAAAATTTTGTGTTTTCTTGCTTAAAATCTCTAAGAATTATGACATGGGCTTCCTTTAAAAGGTTATACCCCTTACCTTTGATATTTATAAAGTTTTTTTTGAAGATTAACTATTTGATATGGGTTGTTTGATTCAATAGTGACTCATGATGTTAATATTATTGGCTTTCAATAAGTTCTTGGATCCAACATCAACATCTTTGACCTATAAAAAAACCCATATCTGTAAGATCTCTCTCTCTCTCTCTCTCTATATATATATATATATATATATATATATATATATATATATATATATATATATATATATATATATATATATATATATATATATATATATATATATTAAAAAATCTTTCATTTCGTATTTTATTTCATTTAGTCATTGGTGTTCACTAAAAGTTTAGATTTATATATACAATATGGATAGTATATGTATAACAATCAAGCAACATGTATTCTTACATGTTTGATGTTTGATTATACATTGTTAGTCGAATCAAGAGTAGGTCTTATTCATGAGACCATGCTATAAGAAAAAGACCTACAAAATGACCGTTGAATAAATGTCCTTTTCATTCACCGCTTCTTTACGTGGTTGATTGTCGTTAACTGAAAGGGTTTGATAGGACAATGTCTCGTTAAAAGTATAACATATATATGTACTAAACAAAATTGTCATCTTAGTTATTTTAAGAAAATGTGAATAGTTGCTAACTAATGCAAAATACACACTATTCCTTATTGTCTATTTATGGAGTGTGTGTGGTTAAGTAACACCGAGTTCCAAGTAAAGAACACTTTTGAGTTTTGGAAATTCAATTCTTAAATAATGAATTTTGTGGTGACCACGACATGGCAAAGGATGCCCCACGACATGGTCAAGGCCAAATGAAATGCACATTCATTTAAGTCCCTACAACATGGAGACGACCAAGTCGCAAAACCCTAATTTTCAGGATTTAAGCCCTATTTAAGGGATGTGATGCTAGGGTTTGCATACCATCAGCCTCCATCACACCCTTTTCGACCTAAAGGCACCCACAGGCACCATTTTTGAGTTTTTGTATCGATTTTTGGTGAGAAAAAAAAAGAAACAACATCCATTGTGTGAAGATCCAAAAAGCAAACCCCTCCTTTACTTTCTAGCACACCTTCTGGACCATTGTGAGTCTTCAAATTCCAACCTTTATGTTTCATTGTGACAATTCCGCAAATTGTCACCGATCGCTAATAACTAAAAGTGACAAACAACAAGTATACTAGACTTAATACGTAATATCTATCAATCTATGATAAAAATACAAGATTTCGTATTAAGATAGATAAGAAAAATCAATCAAATCGTTCGTAATCTATAAAAATGAGTGTGAGAAAAATTATGTTATTTTGGATAAATAATAACATATTTCGAAGGTACACGTCTTCCCGATCTTCGAAATATAAATTTCGTAAAAATCCGACTTCATTTGAAGGATGTATGAATTTTATAAAAATATAAAAATCAACCGCGCACATGGACTATGTATCGTAAAAACTTAAGGAAAATCGGTTGAGTTTTAGCTAAATTAAACTCTGTAAAGGAAAATCGGTTGAGTTTTAGCTGAAAAATAGCCACAAACCACCACCTCATTCACATTGCCACCCTCCTTGTACAACAAACGATAATCAAACTCTTCGAACACCACTTGTCACCGCTCCATCATCAGTACTGTCAAAGGATCTAGCCTCTTGTTGGAGTGCATATCGAAATGGCAAGGTAGAAGCTTTGGGAGGATGCAGATTCGCTACCCTCTCGCTGGGAAAACTAGAGGCAAGTAGGGTTTATGCACCACCATCGACATCAGCTAGGGTCTTTGCCGCCATTGACGTCAACTAGGGTTTCGTCACAAATGTCATCGATCTCTTAGGTTTTAAGATCAAGCTCCTCAGCCGCCGCCTATATGCTTTTATAACAACATCTCTTTCTTGAATTTCACAGGTTTCAGTGAGTTGCAGATTGAATATTCACACCAATATGTAGGGATGAGCAAAAGGCACCGAACCGGCCGGAACTAGGAACCGGCTTCGGCCAAAATCAAGAACCGAACCGGCCCGACGGTTCTATCGGTTCCGGTTCTACTGGTTCCCGGTTCCTACCGGTTCTTGTCGTGTCTTCAAATGTTGGAACCGGTCCTTGAAAAATAGCATCATACAGTTCTGGTTTTTGCCGGTTCTACCGGTTCCGGTTCCCGGTTCCAAAAATCCACAAAAATAACGTCCCAGTCCCGTCTCGACCGGTTCTATCGGGTTCCGGTTCCAGTGCTGGTTCCGGCCGGTTCCCCGGTCCATTTGCTCATCCCTACAAATATGGATATGTAAATCTGCAAATGCGCCTTCAAGAACTATACCCATCTGGAAATCGAACCCTTTAGAACGAAATCCTTCAAGTACTTATGTAGATTTGGAAAACTTCAAATCAATGTTCATTATCCTAGAAACAAACTTGAACACAAATACATGCACATATGTGTTTATCAGCAAATCATTGTTTATTTGCAACTCTGTTCAAAGGTTTGTTTTTTAGACATAAAAGCTTAAATTGCTGATCTTTTTGAACACCATGATTATGGATATGGGATTGTCCGAGGAGCTGATTACAAGTGGTTGTTGGAAATATTGGGTGGTGGTTGTCGGTGGTATTGGGTGGTGCTTGTCGGATGGGTTTTTCCAAGGGTGATATAAGGACCACTTGATTTTTTAAAGAATTATAATTAATAAAATAAATTATAAACCTGAAAAATAAATGAAAATAAACAGAAGAAAAAACCAAGATAGTCATTTCCCAAACATGCACTTTTAATCAAATTAGGAAGGATTCAAGTTAAATTTTATAAATAAGGGCTAAACGTCTTTTTATTTTTTACGGTGTAATTTACCCAAATTTTTTTTATACCGATCTAGAAATGGCCCGACCTAGTGGTTCGAACCGATCGCTTGTTGCACACTTGCACTGACGTCCCACTCAATTACATTCCAGCTCCACCTCATAAAACATAAATCCTCCATAGATCATATGCCACTGCAAAAACCCTAGTCTGTCTCTCAGAAAATCTTCAGAAGATTGCAGAATCTGAAGCTGATGGCATTGCTAGTAGTGCTAATCAGCTATCAGAATGTGCATTGCTGATTGACTCCACTCGGAAGTCAAATAACTCTCGCCGGAGACCGTCTTGAGCTACTGTGGACATCGACGGCGGTGCTGAATCTGAGAAATGCTCAACATTTTTTTTTACTGAGAATACATTTATAAGGTCTCCGAAGATGATTTTAAATCCGGCGGATAATGATGGTTGTGGATCGGTTAAAGGCTTAACCGAGCATTCCAGTTCGATGCCGGAGACAGTCTTGATAGGAACTAAAAGGATGAGTCCGGATACAAATTGCGAAAAATCAGACAAGTGCTCACCTAAACTTTCACCCGGGAGCAGCTCGACGTCGGAGAAGCGCATGAGAAGTTCGATTGGAATGGAGGTCGACGGTACCGAATCGGATCCTTTGCCTCCGACATTGAACGTAAGCAGTGATTTTGTCTACAATGCTGATATTTCTCCGGTGCCGTTGACCATTGACGGATCTATTATTACTCCCAAAAGCGCTTCTGAAAATGGAAGCATTCCAGGGGAATGCAACGGCGCCGAATCGGACACGTTGCCTCTGCTATCAAACGGACTTGGCAGTGATTTTGCCAAGACCGACGATGACTCGCCGGTTCCGATGACGATTGACGCATCTATTATTACCCCCCAAAGCGCTTCTCAAAATAGAAGTTTTCCAGGAGAAAGCAACGGCACGGAATCGGACGCGTTGCCTCTGACATTGCAAACACTTGGCAGTGATTTTGTCAACAATGACGATAATTCACCGGTGCCGTTGACTATCGACGCATCTATCATCACTAGGAAAACCGCTTCTAAAAATAGAAGTGTTCCACGAGAAGGAGTTGAGCTAAGGAGATCACCTCGAGTATCTTCAACCACGTTAAGCGTTGGGAGCCAAGTAACTAAAACTAAATCTAGATCGACCAAGTTGCATGTTTCAGGGCACAATATGGCACTACAACTAAGTTCTGAAACTCGATCTACTACTAGTAAGAAACAGAGAAAGCTAAAAACAGAATCTTTTTTTGTTGGAGACCCAGTTCCTGAAGATGAAGCTCAAGAAAAGTGGGGCTGGCGCTATAAATTGAAGGTACAATTTAAGGAAACTAGTGATTGTGATGCATTTATTTAGTTTTTTTGGGTATACACATGTTCCAATGCATATTTTAGTTTTTTTGACTACTGTCATTGGCAAACTTAAGCAGAAATCCATGACAAATCTATCTGTCTCTGTTTTTTGGTGCCCAAACTGCTTCATTCTTGATTATTATTTCCAAAATTATTATCTTGCAGTTTTCAATTCATGAGCATTCTAAATTTTACAGGGTCAAAGACTCAAGGGACAGAGCTCGATACTAAAGTGAGTGGGACTCTTATTTCTTGCATCTTTCATAGTTACTTTCATGCCTTTGTTGTTATGCCATTCCACTTTGAATTATTTCACATTGAGAATGATTAATTATGCAGTATTGGTGGAGATGATGAAGTGCATATAGATGTCTTATGTCATTACATTCAAGCTAGTGTTGATGGATGCATTTTCAATCTTGGAGATTGTGCACATATAAAGGTACTCCACAATTCCACATTATTACTAACTTATTCTGTTAGCTGGTAATTTGTAGTTCTGAAAGGAAATTGAAAGTCTTTGTTAAATTTTGAAGCATCAAATGACAATTCCTTGACAATGCAGATATGGAAAAATATCATTTGCATCCAACCATAAATATGTTGCATAAAAAGAGAACATGACCATATCTATATAAGATGAACATACACTTTAATTACATATTCCTTATATAAAAGTTTTAAAAATAACCATTAATACAAGGTTTATACTTAAATTACTAATCAAAATCTGCCTCAAAGAAAAGAGGTTAGTTTGACTAATTGTGAACAGGTTCCTTGATAACAAGGTCAATCGTATGACCAATTGTTTGGATCATTATATGTTAGCCTTGCCACTTCTATTCTTCACTACAGGGGAAGAAGGTCATTTATGTGAGTAAATTTTTTCAGGGTGAGGGAAAGCAAAAACATGTTGGCAGGATTGTGGAGTTTTTCAAAACATCTGATGATAAAAATTACTTTAGAGTGCAGTGGTTTTTCAGAGCTGAAGATACGGTTAGTTTCTGCAACCTTTTCTATTTGTATATTTATTAGAATTTGATCTTCAGCTCTTTTTTCTTTTCCTTTTTTCCTTCCACCTTATTATCACTCAGGTTATGAAAGAAGCTGCTGCTATTCTAGACAAGAAGCGTTTATTCGCCTCCACTTTAATGAATGACAACTTATTAGACTGTATACTTTCTAAAGTCAAAATAATAGAAAAAGCTCCTGGGGTATGTTCTTTTTTTTTTACCTTTATCTTTCATATATAATCCTCTTGAAATATTTATAATTTCCCAACATAAAATTCTTATTTCTTTTCAGTTAACCTCTATTCATCCATTTGACTATTATTGTGACATGGAGTATTCTGTAAAATATTCAACATTCCACTCCTTGCTTACTGGTAAAATCATTTCTCACCTTTTATCACACACACACACACACACACACACACATATATATATATATATATATATATATATATATAACTGTTATTTTTGCCATAAATGCTGCAGCAAAAGATAATTCAGTAGCAAGATGTGGTTTGACTTTGACCACACCAAGTAGTCTTGATGCTAACAATATGGGCATAAGTACAACTCCATTAGACATAGTTAAAAGTGACATGCACAAAGCTGAGCTGGCATTATTAGATCTGTATGCTGGTTGTGGTGGAATGTCTACTGGACTGTGTCTTGGTGCCAAACTTTCTGGTGTTAAACTTGTAACAGTAAATATTATGCCCCTCAAAATCTCTTGTATGAAGCACATGTAAAATATATGTCCAATTTACTCATTTACCCTTCTCTCCTTATCTTCAGAAATGGGCAATTGATTATCAGAAGTCCGCGTGTGACAGCTTGAAACAAAATCATCCAGAAACACAAGTGAGAGCTTTAAGTTGTGTATTAATAAATCATAGGGTCTAAATGGAATAACAAAGGAATGGAATGACTCATTACATTCCATGAGGCAAAACAAACAACTTTTCTTTTTCATTTCAATGGAATGAAGCATTCCATTCCTTCTCTGATTCCATTGTACAAAACACTACTATAGATTTGCTTCTTTGTTTATTGTTACATACTTACATACATCTTTTTATAGGTTCGACATATAACGGCTGAAGATTTCCTGCAATTATTGAAGGAATGGGAAAAACTATGCAAAAAATACGTGTTTAATGATCATGATATAAAAACTAAATCTGATGATGATAAAAAATCCAGAATCAATGAATCTTCTGTAGAGGATGATGATGTTGCTCCTGGAGAGTATGAAGTTTCAAGTCTTGTTGATATATGTTATGGAGATCCCAGTAGTACAGGCCAGGATGGGTTAAAGTTTAAGGTACATTAAAAATTTTTAAAAATATATATATTTGGTTTACTAAAGTTATATTTTCACTAATCACAATGTCTTTGAAAACTTCGTTTATGTGATAGTTTTATCATTATGTTATGTTAGACTTGCTTTATTTAGGGTTAAATGTTAATTCGTAAAATAGGGAACAATGGCATTTCCGTAAATAACATCACACTCTCATTTCTTTTCCTATAGGTGAGATGGAAGGGCTATGGTCCAACTGATGATACATGGGAGCTAATTGAAGGATTAAGGTTTTTTTTTTTCCTTGTATTTATTTATTTATAATAATAAAACTCATACCACAACTATTTTCATTTTTCACTTGCTTATATTTTATTTTTACCTCCCACAGTGATTGCCAAGACCACATACAAGATTTTGTCAGACATGGATACGAGTCCAAGATATTGCCACTTCCAGTGAGTTATAACTTATAACTTACATTAATTACTATTTTTTTTTTTCATTGATATCTTATCTTCATAAATGGTAAAAAAAAATTCCTTTATTTCAGGGTGATGTGGATGTTATATGTGGAGGTCCTCCATGTCAAGGGATCAGTGGCTATAATCGGTTTAGAAACACGGATAATCCACTGACTGATGAAAGAAATCAGCAAATAGTTGTCTTTTTTGACATAGTAAAATTCTTAAAACCTAAATATGTGTTGATGGAAAATGTTGCTGATATCTTAAGATTTGATAAAGGTTCTTTAGGAAGATATGCTTTAAGTCGTTTAATTCATATGAATTATCAAGCAAGACTCGGGCTTATGGCTGCTGGCTCTTATGGTCTTCCACAATTTAGGTTACGTGTTTTTATATGGGGTGCTCTTCCAACTCAGGTATATATCTTCTTTACTCATTTTACCTTTTTAAAAATATTTTACTAAAAGTTACTCTTACTTTTTACCTTTTTAGCCATTGTTGCATTTCTGTAACTTTACTCATATGATTATTGTTTGCACTTGCAGAGACTACCTCAATTTCCACTTCCTACACATGAAGTTATTGTCAGATACTTTCCTCCAGCTGAGTTTGAGGTGCTATTTGATTTACATCATTAAAATATGTCAAACTTTTATCCATTTTTGATTAAAATAATCATTATTCTAATTTTAAAACTCTTTTAAATGCAGCAACATACAGTTGCTTATGATGAAGGGCAACCTAGAGAGCTTCAAGAAGCCATTGTTCTTCGTGATGCCATCTCTGATCTGCCACCTGTACTCTCTCTCTATCTACTACATTATACTTTAATTATCTTTTTCTTTTACTTAACCTTGAATAATATTATTTAATTTAATTTAAAAACTAATACATTACACAGGTTACAAGCCATGAAGAACGTGAAGAAATCCCATATGAAATGCCTCCACAAACAGAGTTCCAAAAGTATATAAGGTTAACAAAAGATGGTAATGCTTTGCAATCACCCTATATTTTGACATATTATAGACAAAGAAAAAAAAGACTTTATTATCTAATTATATAATATATAATCCTCCTTCATGAAGAGTTTAATGGTTATGATTCAAAAGGGGATACAGATTGCAAAAGCTCTGTTCTCACAGATCATCGAACATATAAATTATCTGAAGATGATTTTCATCGAGTGTGTTATGTTCCACACAGAAAGGTTAATTTACTTTTTACGTTTTCAGTTTTAAATATTTTCTTATCCTTTCTTGTTTCCTAATTTTATTTTTTCAAGATTTTTATAGGGAGCAAGTTTCAGAGACTTCCCTGGAATAATTGTGAGCTCTGATAATGTGGTTCGCCTCAATAAAAAAATGGAACAAGTGTTGCTTCCATCTGGGAAGCCATTGGTAAGTATAAAAACTAAAACCAAAACACCAAAATTTTAGGGTTAGTAATAATTAATAAAATTGTAATTTCCTTACTTTATAAATTGTTAAAGGTCTTTGGAGTTTCCATTGGAAATTATGATGAAAACCTCCTTTTACCGACTTTCTTCAATAAATTGTTTTTTCTGCATTAATTCAAAAGGAACATGTATTATGTATATGTAACTTACCAGATCAAGTTATGCAAATTTCATGCTTATATTTTCTGTTCTTTTTCTCAATGTAGATACCAGATTATGTATTCACCTTTGAAAAAGGAAGATCTAGAAGGTTTGATGTTCTCATGGGCTACCTTATCAATTATCATAACATCTTTTTAATTTTTTTTTTTAAACTTTTACTAACATCTTGAAGCTTTGGAAAATTTGTTAGGCCATTTGCAAGATTATGGTGGGATGAAAACGTGCCAACTGTCTTAACAATCCCAAATCTTCACAGCCAGGTAAAAAACAAACATGTTAAATGCAAGAAATAGCAACTTACTTTCATTGAAAAATCTACCCAATCACAGCAATCTCATCTAAGATATGAAGCAGTTTTTAACTACAATGTTGTAATAATATAAAGAAAGGAAAATTGGATGTGATAATACACAACTAAATGAAAGTAAGTTGCTAAGGAAAAAAAAAAATGTAAAAATGCGTACTTTGAATTGGTTTATTAAGCTTATAAAATTGTACAGAAAGCATTACATCCAGAGCAGGACAGAGTTCTGACTGTAAGAGAGTGTGCAAGGCTGCAAGGTTTTCCTGATCATTATAGATTTTGTGGCAATGTTAAAGAAAGGTATTCAAGGCAGATTCAAGCAATAAGAATTAGATAGTATTTGGTATGATGGAATCTGGAGTGGGATGGAATGGAATGCTTGATTCCATTCCATCCAACCAAATTAACTGGAAAAAATTTCAGGTATTGTCAGGTGGGAAATGCTGTGGCTGTTTCTGTTTCAAAGACGTTAGGGTATGCACTTGGAATGGCTTTCAGGAAATTAAGTGGAGATGAGGCACTCATGACTTTACCCCCTGGTTTTGCTTTCCAAGTACCATCACCCCCACTTGAGGAGTTTTCTTCTCAGCTTTAGAAAAAAAAAAAAAACATCAATGATTTCTTTATATGAGTATCTGACACGTTTTCATTGTTGTAATTTAATAAATTATATAAAATTTTACAAATTGCATGATCGTTTGTTTGTTAATCCATTGCAAAGTCAAGTCGTATGCGGAAAATGTTGATAGATAAATTCTGTCTGACTCGCGTTAAGTATTGTAGTAACAAACAGTACTATTTATTTTTTGCACTTAATGAGCTGTCTCAGTCTATGAAGCATATTAACAATCTTTATGTATTAAATATAAAAGAAAACAAGTCAACAACCTTATATATTTGTTTAGATTAGGTGTTTTCTCATTAAGTAAAAACAAGGTTCTAAATAACGTAAGGCGTCACGGCGGTAATGTCAAGTTTCAAGTTTTTTCGAGCTATGCCGAGTCACATTGTTTGTAAGGCGTGCCATAAAGCAGCAAGTTTGTATATAATTAATACATATATGACTTAAGACGGCAATTTATCAAAACTCGGTGACAACTACAAGCCTTAAAACAAAAACTAATGGAAGTTTAGTCCATTTAGAGTGAGGATAGGGAGCCATGGGTAAGGCCCCGTTTGTGTTTACAATGGATTGAGATGGTTATACGAAATAGTTCATTAGATTTAAAAATCTACATCAGAAGAAGAACAAGGAAAAATCAAAATAAACAACAAATCAGCAAGAACAACAACAAAAAATCCGAACACAAACAACAAAAATCGGAAAAGGAAAGGTCTGTTATAAAAACCGGAACATAAACATCAAGAAATCGGAAGGGAAACAACTAAAAAAAAGCATCTGAGAAGAGGGAAGTCGTACCTGATGAGAAGATATCTTCGATCGGTACAGGTGCAGTGGCTGAAATCGCCGATCGGTGGGGAGAAAAGGTTCTGATGATTGATCGTTGAAGAGAGAAGATCCATATGGAGGCGCTGAAACTTGAACGCAGGGCAAGGAAAAGCAAGGGCACTTTTAGGAACTTTCTCAGTCAGTAGATATCTCATATCTTTCACGTCCAGATCTAGCTTTACCGAGTCAGACATGCAAAATCTGTTTCCCAAACAAGAATAGCTGACCGAGTCAGCAAAAACGTCTGACCGGGCCGGGTCAGACGTATATCAAACAGGACCTAAGTTTTCTTTGGTTATCTTGGCATTTAAAGTTTACTAGAGAGATGTGTATTTTTATGTGAATTGAGAAAGCTCCTATTGTTCCATAGCCCATTTTTAATTGATATTTTGTACTTTATATTTTAATGAATATTAGGTGTGAACCCCGTGTATTATACGGGTTAATTTTAAAAAATATTAAAAATTAAAGTGTAAACAAAACATATATATTTTTTTTAAATATTTTTTAATGTAAAACTTTAAAATAAGAAATAAAGAAATGTATTTATTACAATTTAATATCATATATATGATATTTAATACTTTACATATATATAAATATATGATTTTAATTTTAAAAATTGAAACAAATTAAAAATTAATAAGTGGATAATATTTATTTCAAAAATACCACAAAATGACAAGTGTCAAAACTCATGAGAGATTGACATGTAGCAAAAAAAATGTTCATTTATTAAGGAAGATTTATTTATATACTCTAGAGTATGGTTATAGGACTAATTCATATATAAAAATGTTTTACCACTGGCTAGTCGCTTGCAAATTGACTAATTGAGGATTGTATTCCAGTTCTTTCAACTCTAGAAAGCATTGCAAAGCTATTAGGTGGGATCTCAGGTTTTTAAATAACTTTATTGTAGATTTATAAATCTATTCCATATATTAAACATTTATTTTATTTATTAAATGTACAAATATATCTACATTAATTATTTTACGTTAAAAGTTTATAATTTTATATATATATATATATATATATATATATATATATATATATATATATATATATATATATATATTCATAATAGTTATATTTAATATTATGTGAGTATGCTAAAAACTTTTAGTGGGTTTATTTTTATTTTTATTTATTTATTATTATTATTATTATTATTATTATTTTAAAACGATAAACTACTTTACTTTTAATTTTCACCTATGTTCAATGCTAGATTTGAACCCTCAAACTTAAGAAGTGAGAACAACATCGAATAGGCTCGGTTAGAAACCCTTTAATAATTAAAAGCATATATAAAATAGTTGATGAATTGACAATAGACCTATTTTTGAAAGAGTTTTAAGAATTTATCATATAGAAGTTAATTGTAAAGTGATATCTTACAATTAAAATACTAATTGACATTGCATCGTTATGGATGTTGTCTATTCCCAAAGAAGACCACTCGGAATTTCCTTACATTTAGCTTAAATAAATTAACATATATCGATTGCAATGTAAAAAAATGTCATATTTGATAGAACTTATAACGAAAAAAAATAATAGTTTCAAAAAATTAGGTGTTTGCAAACAAAACGAGAATTGAAAAGTTTTCCCTTTATGAGATGAAGTGATATATGTTTTACAAACGTATTTATACATTAAATGTCGATTGTTTTTATACCTTTGTAAATATATAAATACGTTTTATATATATATATATATATATATATATATATATATATATATATATATATATATATATATATATATATATATATATATATATATATATATATATTATTCTTTTCAAACTAATTATTGTGTTATTGTATGCATAAATGTAAGCCAATCAATTTTATTTATTTTAAGAAAGTGATTAATACATATTATTGAATTAAAAATAATTGAAAAATATAATTTAATTTAATTACAATGGTATTTTAGTCAATTAATATACATTTAATAAAGGAAAAATTGCATATTTTAAGGGATCATAGATTCTATTAATTTTAAAACCCGATTTTACGAATTTTAATTCTTTTAATTCGAAGATTCTAACAGAATATGTTTATAAGTATATTTAAAAATAAAAATATTATTGAACTATAAATATAAAAATATTCTTGAACCTATTTCTTGATCATGACTTTAAAAACTTCTTGTAAAACAACAAATTCTTGAATAATCAATTGAAGAATAAAAACAAAAAATACATTATTTCTTATAGAATACATGTAACAATTGTTAAGAATTACAATAGAATTAGAATTGATGATTCCATTCCAGCAGAATTGGAATTCATATCCATACTCCATTCCAACAGAATTAGAATTCATGATTCCATTCTAACAGAATTGGAATTTGTGATTCCATTCCAAAAGAATTGGAATCGCACCAATATCATCCATTTAATCATCTACATAAACAAATTGATTTTTATCATATGTCACACCTCAAAACCGGAATGGCGGAAACGTTCTGGGGTGGATGATGTCATGTCAAATATCACAACATATGTAGTATAGTAATCAAAGTACAACAACCATTGCATTAATAGTAATAGTTCTATATAAGTTACATTTCATAGAGACATCAAAGTAATACAAAAAACTAGTATAGATGCAGCTCGGTTCTAGGCTGGCTTCAAAAAAGCTCCTGGGTGTACCTGTCTATTGCTGACCTGAGAATACAAGTTATTTTGAAAGCGAGTATCAACATTTTTATGAATGCTGGTGAGTTCATAAGTATTTAGAGTCATTTGTGTAAGTAAGCATTTTATTCAAAATAACTTTATAAAAAGTAGTAGTTTAGAATCTACGGTGTATTAGCGTCCTTTCCAGAAAATCCTATATTTTCTAATTAGAAACAGTCCTCTACCAAGACTCGATAGTGCTATGTTTTAAAGAGAAATTTTCCCTGAAATACTATCATTACTAAAATACGCTATTTGACTTTAAAGAGAGTAGGAGAATATCACTAGTAAAATACTAGGGGAGAATAACATATGCCTCAGCAGAAATACTGCTGACTAAGGCAAAAGAAATCATAGACTCCAGGAGAGTATTGAATGAATGATATGCTTGGCTCAGTCTAACAAAAGGAAACACAGACCCCAGACGGTATCAAATGAACGATACGGCTAGCAAGTTCTAAAACAATGAAACACAGACCCCAGATAGTATCAAATGAACGATACAGCTAGCAAGGTCTAAAACAAAGAAACACAGACCCCAGACAGTATAAAATGAACGATATAGCTAGCAAGGTCTAAAACAAAGAAACATAGACCCCAGACAGTATAAAATGAACGATACAGCTAACAAGGTCTAAAACAAAGAAACACAGACCCCAGATAGTATCAAATGAATGGTACAGCTAGCAAGGTCTAAAACAAAGAGTAATCCTAAGAGTGTTGTTTCAAGAATACAGTGTTAAATTCCCGTTACCTTAAGGCCATGAATCATAAGGTAAACATGGAGATACTCGTAACCATACTGATTGATACTAGAGTACTTGACGCCCCGCAAGCATCGGAATAAATGTGACATTTGTCACCCCTTGGCTTGGTAGGCCGAGGACTGTAGCTAGCAGTCAGGGTGCGGGAGTGTCAGTCCCGTATAGATCTATACACACAATGCCCGCTCTCCCTCCATGAGACTCTGGTTACCAACTTGACGACGGGGAGATCCGTGTCCTGAGGATGCATCTCGTACTCTGAATTCTATTAGAGGCGCTGGAGTAATGATATAGACTCGCGAATGAACTGACTCCATTGGAATTCTCATACTAGAAAGAGTAAATAGAACCTCCTAACTATTCCTATAATAGTTACTAGGGTCTCTGATCTATAAATGATGAATGGAAGGATGCCATTGCTACCTAAGGGAAATGAACTGGTCGATGGATCCCTTTATGTCCGTATATGTATACATGATATATAACTAATGTTTAAACGACCTTCGAATGGATAACCGATACCCACCAGACCACATCCAAACGAGGAAAAGGAAATAGGGCGAACTAGCCTTCCTAAGTCCTTTAAACATTATTTATATAACTATACAAGTACATACATGCATCTAACGAAGTAGAAGCATAGAAGTACAGAAGAAAACTTTTGATAAAACCTTTAAAAATAAGAAATTATGACTTGATATCGTTATGTAAAACAAGCTTTGAAAACCGTTCATAAACACATTTTGAATATAATTTGATAACACAATATAAGTAAAGAAAACCTTTGTTTAAAACACTGCTGTAACCGGTTTAGAAGTAAACATACA